CTTCACTGAGTTACGCAAGCCCCTTCGCCACGACAAGGCAGTGATCCATGAAGGGGTCATCCTCTTACAATAGTCTTATTTGCTATAAAAGTGGTCCTATTCTAATACTAGTAGTAGTTCTCCTGTGCTAGATTATGGGAGAATGGAGTTCTGTTTTTCAAATCTCACTCCAGATCCAGGCACTGATTGAAAATGAACTACCTCCAGAGTAACCTAGTCAAAGATGTAAATATAGTAAAGGCAGTTCTCAGTTGTTTCTCACTCCTTGCCCCATATCTTCAATAAATCTGACTGCAGGATAGGGCTATCATACTGGGCCTGACACCCATTAGATATACTTTTTTGCTGCCACATCTAGTCATTTTGGAGCCCAGATATGGTACCCCTGAGTTTCAAGTGTTTGGGGGGGGGTAAGGGTGGGAGAGTCTTCAGAGGGGAAGTTGCACAAGTGCTGCATGACTGGTGGATGTATGGTGAATGGGAGGGGAAAAGGTCCTGCCTGTGAATCCACAGCCAAATCAGATCATGGGCAAACATGGTCCAGGAACAGTCTAATGGTCCAAGTGTCATGGAAAAGTAGTCAGCCAGTCCAGGCTTCAGGTAGAACATAGGATTCAGTGGCATAAAAACACAGAGCCATGGTTAGAGTGGTTGTTCCCAACAGGGAAGTTGGCTTCTGGTAGTTGCATTGATATAAGCTAGTGTGGACAAGGCCTGATGAAGGCTGTTGCCACTTTTCCTTCTTGACATTCCTCTGCTCCACTCTCCAGAGTTCACGGTATGTTTTTAGGCTGGGTGGCTGCTTGGAATCAGGGCCTTTGTGGTTTGTCTTGTTCAGCATCTGTTCCAGATGTTTGCTGGCAGAGTCAGCCTCTGGTGCTTGACTGCTCCTGATTCCTGAGGCTGACATTCATCTTGAGCAGGCTCCCCCATGTCTGAGTCCTTGGAGGAGACCATGCGAGGGCCCAGTTGAGAGATTTGTCTTTGGGGACAAGGAGGGCGACTTACACCCCTGCACCCATATCAGGTCATTTTCAGGGCCTCCAAGTTAATTACATGGTGCATTCACAAACCTAGTACAAACTTTCTCAGTGAAATTAACACAATAGGCTGTGCCTTATTTCTGTAGTGGTAAGCAATGCTTGTTCCTGTGGGAGCAGGCTTTTGCAGTGAAGGAATCACAACTCCTAGCACAGAACCAAGTCCCTTCTACCAAACCCCAAAATTTTCAGTTCACTTGTAGTCATACTCCTAGATCTCATGGATGTGACTGAAGAACCATGGAAATTGGGCTCCTCACCTTAAAAATAGAGTTATGAATAGAATTGCAAGCATGACTTTCTAAACTATCGTTTAGAATAGAATCATTGAACTAATCAGGTAAAACAGACAAACTAAGGTGAAGTTAATTGATACAACAAAAATGTCAAGATGCACCATTAAAAAGCAGTTGTCATCTGAAGTCTATTTGTAGAGATACTACCCAGAATCAAATCCTTACTGAGTACAATAAGAGTTACACCAAGGTTTGTGAGTAGAAGATTTCAGTCTCAATGAGATATTTATATTCAACATGTGTTCAGCAAGTATGACTTTTAAAATATTTTTCTGGAATTATCAACATTCACTGATTTTAAACAGTCATTAATTTATGGATAGAGCTCTGAGTGGCATTTAAAGGGCTAATTTCTTGATTGATTTCTCATAGGATCTTTTTGTGTTACTGGATTTAATTGGTGCACGAAACCCTGTTTTTCCTGTTTACTTTTTGAACACAGCTCGATGGTTTGGGAGACTTGAAGCAATTGGTAAGGACTTATTTTGCAAAATATACCAGTTCCACCTGGTAAAGGGACGCTCACCTCTTCTAGTTTTATATGGTGGAGTATTTCTAGCAGCACCATTGCTATTAGAATTTTACATCACAGGTGTTGCTATGCACATCTCTTTTTTTCCTTTGAAGCAAATGCTTAAAATCTCCTTTACTGCATTACAAAAGTATCAAGAATTTAACTAGCCACTTACATGCATATTTTTTTAAACATTGTGGACTTTGTTGTTTAAGATAAAAACTATGCAAATGCTACCAAAATAGTACAATACAGATTAAAATTTTAGCAAAATGTCTGTTCTGAGGTCATTTTCTGGGATATAATAGTAATCACAACAATGAGTTTGCATTTATAAAGCACTGAGGGTGTGTAAAATTCTAAGGAAAATTCATTTTTGCTTCAAAATGTTTTAAACAGATTGAGGGCTTTTTAAAAAATCACCTTGATATTCACAACTTACTACTTTTTAAAAACAACTGTAGAACGAAGCCTTCATGATTTGGGATTGTTAAAAAATTATTCTTCTGAGAGACAGTACTTCCGGAGTAATTTACGTCGACATCCAGTTGAGGATGACCATATTCCATTTTTGCGAAGAGGTATGGAAATTTTAATGTGTTTTAGCTGACATACATTCAGCAACATATGTATAAGTGTCATTTATCTACCACAATTTTCTCTAGACTTACGGAATTGTACAAGCGTTTGTTTTTATTGAGTAGGGTCTGGTCACAAACCCATTTTTCAGATTGTGGCTTGTTCTGCTTTTGACAAATCATACTGGGACAATTACATTAAAACAAAGAAATCAGTGACTATAATTATGCTAAAAGATATTGCACAATGCTTTCTTTTCTCCATCCCATCCCTGAATGATAGGCTGAGGGGTTCTGAATCTTTTTTTTTTTTTTTCAGAGTGGCAATACAAATTAAGGGAAATAAATTGGCAGGAACCAATACCCAACATAGTATTATATAAACATGAAAGGAAATGTAAAGGAAACATTGAAAACCAAATGTCTATCCAATTCACATAGAAAGTGACTTTGCTCAAAGGGTATTGTGCCATACTTCTTTTCAGTTTATTGCTCCAAATACTCTTCTCTGGAGCAGGGGTGTTCATAAGCCTTGCCCTTTGGGATATGCAAGTGTCCTCACAGGGCACATACAAAAGAAGCAGTTTGTGTCAGGCGGACCACTTGACCCTTCCTGTGGACACTGCTGCTTCAGAGGTATGTAAAATATTTAGAAGCTTGGAATTCCCTTTTGGGCACTTCTGTTCTTCTGTACTCATGGCCATTTCTAGCATCAAAATGCCAGAGAACCAATTGCAGCAGTTTTCTAGAAGATTATATCTTACATCCTCCTCCTCCTGATTTCTGCCTTCCCAGTCTTATAGATGAATTCAGGAAGGTATGTGAAATATTCATGTCCTTGGTTAAGTCATTAACAAATTGTGGGTCCAGCATATTCTAGGTTGAATAATTTTTTCCCTAGTTTTCAGAGGCTTTTCACATAGGCTAAGAGTATATGCTACTGTTGTGTAATTCCTTTAATCAACAAAATCAGTTTTTCCCTCTTAATAGCTCCCATTTAAATTCAACTATGTGCCGCCTATTTGTATTGATATGAAAAGTGAAAAACAAAGATGTCTAGTGTTAACAGATGATGTGATTTTTGCCATTTCTGTTGTGTAGAGAAAATATGGCATGAAAAGTGGATTTGCCATTTACGCACAGGACTTGAATGTTTGTTTAGAGATAGATCCCACTTCAAAATACTTGATTATCATTGATAGCCAAAACCTGCCATTTTAAAATACTTTTTGCCAAAAAAGATATGGTTGCTCTTTAAATGTCCTTACACTTTTAACAACAATGGACTTTTAATAATGTTCTAAAATTCAGGAGACTAAATAATGAGATTAAAACATTAACACCATCATGCCTTCAGTTTACATATTGTACAACATTGTTGAGAAATACAGTTGTCTCAAAAGTTGGACCAACTCTTCATCTTTTTGTTCTCTCTTCCCAACAGGTGTCCCAATCCTACACTTGATACCATCACCTTTCCCTCGAGTATGGCACACTATGGAGGATAACGAAGAGAATCTTGACAAGCCAACTATTGACAACCTCAGCAAAATTCTGCAAGTTTTTGTGCTGGAATATCTCAACCTGGGATAACTGTTACCCTTAAATTGATACTCTGTTCTAAACATTTAACCAGCCTCTTTTTAGGATCCTTCCAAGAACAGATACAGTAATCAGATCTCCTATTTTATGCCTTGCCCATGACAAAAACTGAAAGAAAGATTATCCATCCAGATTTAATAATGCTAGTGAAGTTTTAAAATTTATTCCTAAGAAACAATTACCGGGCAGTGTAAAAAGCTAATTATGCTGTTATGAGAAGCAGGATAAAAAAAAATTCAAAAGAACACTTTTAATTTAATCCACTTTTTAATTTAAGAATTAATAGGAAACCTTTACATATCTTAGAGATTAACTTCTTTTTATTAATGTTTAATATCCATATTTCATAATTTTACTACAGCAATGTTTAAAAGAAAAAGTACTATTAAGTATCTCAGGGTGAGAATCTGAACACCTTTGGCCTACTAATTCAAACATGTGCAGAAGACAAGGGCTGGGGAAAAAAAACTCTATGTGGCTTATTTATTGTACTGTAATATTCTGCTAAATGATTTCCAAGATATGGTTTGAGGTGCCAATATTGTTTTCTGTAGCTGTGAGTGCCAATAAAAAACAGGGAGTGACTGTGCCTGGACTATGGTTCTAAACCACGTATGGAAATCATCAATCCATATCATATTAAATCATGTTAATTTACATTACCTGATTAAAGTTGTTTATCTGATGATGAGTCATCTCAGCACACCATTATCCCTTTATTTATTTAACAATGACATTCAAATTTGCAAGTGAATCATAGATGGGCAGTAGCTTAAACTGAATCCACTAAATATATAAACTCACCCTAATATTTTGAATGAACATATTTTTAAGCTACATTTAAGCATTCCTGTCTCCTTCATCTAGTGCAGGAGTGAATAAACATTCATCCATTCATTGCATTCCCTGAAGTCCCTCAGAAAACACTGCCCAAAATGGCAGCATGATTCAACAGTTAATTATATTTTTAAATTATGCCTTCAAATTAGGTATTGATTCTTGCCAACTACCTAGACTAGCCCTGCACTTTTCAGACAGTCAACATTTTCAGAAAAGGTTTACCCTTGCCTTGTTCCTAGGGCTGAGAGAGTGTGACTGGCCCAAGGTCACCCAGCTGACTTTGTGCCTATGGTAAAACTAGAACTCAACAGTCCCCAAGTTTCTAATCTGGTGCCTTAACCACTACAGCGAACTGGCTCTCCTAATTATATAAAAAGGGTGCACTGATATTAATACAGGGACAAAAATTCCTCTTCAGTGATTATATCATATCAGCACCATGAGCTGGGATTAATCTGAGAACATAATAGTCAATTTTATATCAGCTATTGTGCCATATTGACAGTTAATACATCTTAATTCCAAGACCTTAATTCTACAAGCATTGTTCATCTAACATCTTTCCATAAGGACAGCCAGTATGTGGTTCTGGCAGCAGCTTGACATTGTCTTTCCCCCCAAAAAAACACTTTTTTTTTTTTTTTTGACATACTAGGAATTCAATATGGAAAGGAGGTTATATAAGGTAGCATAAACACACTGTAGTTAATGGGGTAGATTCTGCACATATATTGAACAAGAAGCAACTACCACTAAAACCAAGTCTTTAAGATTATATTCTGCTCTTTCTGTTCCTGTAGTAGTTATTATATAAAATTGGGGGGGAGTGTTAGTTGAAATATACACAATGAGGACAGTGCATAGAAAGGAAGAAATTACATAATTTTTATGAGCTGTACAACAATTGTATATCAGGGAAGGAGAAACTATTCATATTGGAACAACATTTAAATATAACTTTGGACAGTAGGAATTCTTGTGCATCATGGCAGATTTAAATGTGTCAGAGCTAGAATATACAAGAATGGTTGAACTGTTATATAGATAAGATAAAAAGCACACACAGGTACAGTTTTCTCTTTTTAATTTTATTGATTGCAGTGCATCCAACGTACATTATGTTCAGTGAAAATAAACTGATCACTTTCTTACAGTACGAGGCTATTATTTTAATTTTTAAAAACTGATTTAAGTAGTTGCTAGAAAGAGAGCACCACTATAAATAGCCACGTATCATTGTTCAATAAAATACATCTGTGTAATTGGTGATGATTTTCCTTCTTTGCTTAATTTCTTGGAATTATACTGGATTGTCAGCCACAATTTCTTTTAAAGAATTATTTACCATTACAAGTAATATCTGTTTTCAGTTTAATCCATATAGTGGTGCTTAAAAGTTTGTGAACCCTTTTGAATTTTCAGTATTTCTGCATAAATATGACCTAAAATATCTGTTTTCCACACAAGTCCTAAAACTAGATAAAGAGAACCCAATTAAACAAAAGAGTCAAAAACATTGTACGTCTTCATTTATTTATTGATGAAAATGATCCAAAACTACATATTTGTGTGTAAACCTTTGTTTTCAGTAACTGGTGTGCCCCCCTTGGGCAGCAATAACTGCAACTAAACAGTTTAGGTAATTGTTGATCAGCCCTGCACATCAGCTTGGAGGAATTTTACTCCCATTCCTTCTTACAGAACAGCTTCAATTCAGGGATGTTGGTGGGCTTCCTCAGATTAACTGCCTGCTTCAGGTCCTTCTACAATATTTCTATGGGATTAAGATCAGGCCATTAATGATTTGGCCATTCCAAAACATTAACTTTCTTCTGCATTAACCATTCTTTGGTCATACAACTTGTGTGTTTTGGATCGTTGTCTTGCTGCATCACCCACTTTCTCTTGAGCTTCAATTCATGGA